TTATTATTATCATCATCATCATCATCAACATCATCATCATCATCATCATCATCATTATCATAATTGGATTATTATTATCATTACATGCGAGGCTCGAACCCCCGAACCCACAAACTCATTAATATCTGATTCTTCTTCTTCATCTTCTTCTTGTTCTTGTTATTCTTCTTATTATTATTCTTATGATGATTATGATGATGATGATGATGATTATTATTATTATTATTATTATTTTAATGGTCGTTTTTGCTGTTGTTGTTGTTGTTGTTGTTGTTGTTGTTGTTGTTGTTAGCTAGATTGTCGGAAGGCTGGTTTATCTTGCTGATACCTCTGGACCCAACATCAATGGAGGCTTGTTCTCAATTATAATAATTCGGGGGAAGGGAGGTACGTGTTCTTCTTTTTTCTTTAGCCATATGTGAGTGGCATTGTGATGAAATCAGGCGTCGCTAAAATAATGAATTGAAGAAACCGACATTTTCCTCAATTTTTATTGAATTTCTTTTTATGTGCATTTAAAACACACAAAATTTGTGTGTGGTATTCCCTGAAAAATGTCGATCAAAGGCAATTATAATGGACACTCCAGCTATTGAAGTCACCAAGCTTTGGTGACCATTTCCTTGCTATTCTTACCTCTAACACCAGGCGATCCCCACCTCGTTCAATCTCTAATATCCAATTCAAGATAGATGGGATTTTTTTGTTATCAAAAGCGAGACAAATGAACAAGATTGGTACCAAAAATTCTATATGCCCAAAAATTTGACGAACGCCTGATTCCACCTATAGTTGCGAAACATGATTCTTTCAGCTTTTGCAATAAAGAAATATTCTAATGACTGCTACTAACAATAAATTTTAAAATATGGTTTTTCTCTACAGTAAAATGTGATACATCTGAAAACGTATGTGCCTATGAAGGCACTGATTCACTGGCAGACATGATTCGAGGTTACAAAAACCAGAGTGATACAGGCTCAGGTGAGTGTAATTTTGTTTTCTTTTAATATAGGTGTTTTTGCACCCCCTTCGACACAATTTAGATCATACAGGAGGCAGGCTTCCGATCCTGTCTGTCAGGGCCAACCCATGCTAATAAGGGTACAAACAACATCCCAGCAGAAAGATCGAGATGCTCGACAAAAAAAACCCTCCCCACTCGGGAATCGAACTCGGGTCTCCTGCGTGCGACAGTGACGAGTCCGACTCAACGCCACAGACACCGGGGGATAAGGCCAACATTTAATTTAGTTCAATACTGGTGCATACATTGCAATAAATGTTGAAGTTATCTCCTTACACACTGCTGCGTCAACGTTTTTGTGGAAAACAGTAATATTTTTGCTTCATCAGTCTACCTACCCGCCGTGTGCATGCATCTGTATTTTGTCACAGTGGTGAAAAGTTAATTCTAGTTCTTATCGACCAAAAGCGAAAGAACTAACATAGGATTGAGAAAGAGGTTAGAAAGATGTTATATGTAATTTTTGTGTTGTTGTTGTCAAACCATGTACTTATTGTTACTATACACGAGATGCTTGATTTGATTTTTTTTCTTACTGTTTATTTTGTTCACATGTATTGTTTTCTACTTATCCTCTTTTGGTATATATACATACATTTTGCGTGCGTTATTTGTGTATATTCGTATTCGCTGTTCTTAAAGCCAAAATTGCTTGTTATGCACAATGTATATAATAATTATTCATAAGTTTGGATTTACGAGGCGAACTAATATAGAAATTAATTGCAACAGTGATTTTTTTTAAAAAATGCCCTTACACTATAGAAAACAATCATTTGTGAGCACAAATTCACCTAGTACATTCGTTTTTCTTTCTTTTATTTTTCCTTTGGACTTTAGCACTGTATTTTAAAAGTGTCAAGGTAAGAATTAATTAGGTTATAAGTAAAATGCTTTGCAAAACTAACACTCTCTACACGGTATGTTACGTACTGTGTATAGTTTGACTCTAAACAACTCCTTTGATTTCGACATAACACATCTTGGCTTTGTAACGTTATTTTTAACCAAAAATGCTAATTTTCTTCCTACATTATAACAGTCCTACTCCTTTAAGATTGAAAACCTCGACTAACTAAACCTGATAACCGCAAAAGTACAGTGCACCATGTGTCTATCCATCCCAGTATAGATATATTATCTGTACAATTACGTATCTATCCACCCATCCATCCATCTATCAGTGTGTTATGAACTCGCACACAAGTACTAACTGCAGTTTAACCGGAAGTTAAAACTCTTCTTTGCGCTGTTGTGGCCCCCCACTCCAAAAAGGTATACATCTAGAAGTTGGTTGTCATAAAAAGGGTTCCTCATGTTTGAAAAAAAAGTCATAAGCAGCGAGATTGACAAACACAAAAATAATAACATTATTATTATATAAGTCGGAATTTCTGTAGAGTGTAGAATTTCTTAAAGTTATAATAGTATTGCTATTGTGTCTCTTCTTCACCCCCTCCCCTTCCGTCTGTCTGTCTG